AACCATTTCTATTACCAGGAATAATATTCCTGGTAATAGCCTATTACCTCAAATAAGGTAATAGCTATTACTAGGGGCCCCCCTGGTATTAGCCTATTACTGAACGCTCAGGAATAGATTTTAGAATCTATTTTCTTTTTTACCCCTTTCTTTAACCTAATTTTTTTTATCCTATATATAAATTTATCCTATTTCACCATCGTCGTCGTCGCCACCACCATCACCGCCGCCACCACCACCACCACCACCATCGCCGCCGCCGCCGCCACCGCCACCACCACCACCATCACCACAACAGTCGCCGCCCCCACCACCACCGTCGCCACCACCACCACTACCACCCCAGCACCACCACCATCATTACCACCGCTACCACCATCGCCGCCTCCGTCGCCACTACCACCACCGCCACCAGAACCACCACCCAGCAGCATCACCACCGCCACAACCGTCGCCGCCCCCACCACCACTGCCACAACCGTCACCATCAACTATCACCGTCACCACCACCACCGTCGCCCCCACACTGCCACCGCCACCACCTCCACTACCACCCCAGCACCACCACCACCACCGCCACCACCACCATTCACCACCACCGCCACCACCATCACCACCACCATCGCCACCATCACATATTTTTATAAGGGTATTTATGTCTTTTAAAATATATTTCATTTCTATTCCTTAAATCAACCAAACACTGTAATATAATTCCTAAAGTCTATTCCTTCCGCAAACCAAACAACAAAATACAATTCCTATTCTATTCCTTGCCTATTCCATTCCTTATGGAATAGCATTCTTATTAGCTCAAAATTTATTCCGTGAACCAAACATGCTGTAAGTTACTCTGGAATACTTCGATGTTAATAATAAGATCTGGTGGGATAATATAGAACCGGATCAGCCTAATAAATAGATTATCATCATAATCCAATCAAGTTGTTTTAGTTTAGTTCATATGCATCAAAATCGATCTTGACGCTTAATCAAAGTGTTTTGGACCAGTTCACAAGTAATGACACGCAATAATATACTTGAAATGTGACATCGACATTGCAATAATGAATAATGTTTCATTAATGACCATAATAGATTGGGGGTGGGTAAGGGTAGGGTGCACACGCTTTAATTGCTAACTAATTGCATGTTAAGAACAATTAACTCGATTTCAAAGATAAGATATAAGTAGACCGATCAATAGCACTTTATCGAAGAAATGAACCTTTAATCTTATCATTATAATTCGACATATTAATGATATTATACATAGTATGGAAAAATTCCTTACAATAATGTAAATATTTTCCATTATTTAATTCTCATCAGTGTAATACTTCCAATAATAATTGTAAGGATCATTAATTAATTAAATATTGTGATGTAATTATCTTATCTTATCGGGAGAAAAAAATTATAAAAAACCCTAACTTACATGCCTACGTGTAGCATAATTAACCCCATGTGCGCACTAAACGTGATTAACAACATTCATCAATTTAATACGGCGATATATATATATATATATATATATATATATATATATATATATATATATATATATATATAAAATTTATTTTCCTAATATAATTCCATCAATTTATGAGACAAAACTCCATTGTCTAGTCACCACACAATGTCATGCACTATTGCACTAATAACCATTACCCATAATTCCTGGGCAATTATCATCTTTACATTTATTTATTTTTGCAGGAAATGGTGAGTATATAGTATATTACAAAAAATAATAAGTATACTTCGATTACTTTCAATGAATAAAATTTTCATAGTTTCATTACGTATCTAGATTTTATTGGAAGAAGAAAATGAAAGAGATTAGTAAAATATGTTGGGGATATAATTAATTATTTAAAAAGCCCTAAAATGGGTGATTTTGTACTCTGTGTGGATGAAGCATGATTGTGTACTTAAAGGTCATGAGTTTCAAGTTCGATTCTTTTTAACACTCTTTTGGTCAAGTCCACCGCACATGATTTTTCTAGTGCAGTTACCTCTCCTGTGTGGTTTGTGGACTATTATAAATTAAGGAGCGGGATTTACCTAGCTCATATCATCAGGTAGTAGCCAGTCAAGACCCTCACAGGTGATCTTTCTAATACGGTTACGTCTCCTGTGTGGTTTGCACGTTTTTGCAAAGGAGCAGAGTTTGCACAATGCACTGCACACCCTCGGGGAGTGTCCGGTCAAGCCCGTCTCACAAAGTCTGATCTTATTAGTGTGGTTACCCTTTTGTGTGATTTACGGACTATTACAATTGAGTTGAGTTTATCCTATACACACCCTTAAATAGTAGTTACATGTTTCTCTCGTTACAAAAAGTGATTGTGATATTTCACTTTAAACATAAGAAATTTTAAGAAGACTCTAGCGAAATCAAACAAGAATAGGAGAAGTGTCAAACCAAGACAAATATATAGGAAATGCAGAAAATTAAAGGATGGACTAGTTGGCTTCATTCATCATCTTGACTTCTTTGGCTCACCGGTGATGGACGGCTCTGATGCAGACATAAAATATTTCTGTATTTAGCCATGACTATGACTCTGACTTTTATCAACCCAATCAAAAGAAAAGTAAAATACATAATAAATATTAATAAAAGAAAAGAAAATTAAAGAAGAGAAAAAGGGAAAGGAATTGAAAGACCTAACCAATATCATTAAAGGAAGGTGAGCTTGGTTGAAACTTGAAACATGGCTCCATTATAAAGTTTAAAGGGTGTTTTGGTAAATAGTTATTAACTGATAATTGTTAGCTTATTAGGTTAGTGGGTTTGATAAATTGATAGTATTAGTTGATTGTAAAATAATGTTTGGTAAATTAACTGTTAGTTGATAGTTTATAACATACAAAATGACTTTCTCAAAAATTGATGAGGAAATTTCCAAAATAATCTTCCGAGTATGGTTTTTTTTTTTTTTTTTTTCAAATTGGTCATATGACTTTTAATTGAACACAAACTGATCCTCCAACTATTAGATTTTAAACTAAATTGTACTCTATTAGTTAGGCATGAACTTAATCGTTAAATTAAGAGCAAAATAAGAAATTTATATTGTATAATGTTTAGACAACCAACGCCTTTGATTTTTCTCTTAAATTAGTCAGTAGTGCTCAAAAAAAAAAAAAAAAAAAAAAAAAACATTCATAGACCAAAACCAATAAATGCCACGCCATCATGGGACCCATTGCGATAATATAATTATCAGATCAAAGGATGAAAAGTGAGGTTGTAATTTGAATTGATAAAACTAGAAAATAATAATAATAATAATAATAATAATATTATTATTATAATTATTATTATTATTATTATTATTATTATTATTATTATTATTATTATTATTATTATTATTATTATTATTATCCTCAAAAAATTATTATTATTATTATTATTTGATCAATCGGAGAAGGGATACCTAAAAATAATTAACACTTAAAGAAAAATACATTATAGTCACAAAAATTGAGTGTAATGGTCTAACCTTTCAAAATTAATGATTTTATTGAAAACAAAATTAATGATTAAATACTAAAACTTTTATTATAATTGAGTGATTAATAAAAACGTTGTCACAACTTTCATTTCCCTAAGTTGACAATAATGTTTGAAACATGACAAATAATTATTTAAAAAAAAAGACAAAAAATAAAAACAAAATATGGGCTTAAGCAAAATCCAAAACAATCCTCTTGTTTCTTTCTCCCTTCTTGTATTTTATTTTGGTTGGCAATAACTCATTATAAATGTTTTACAATTATACAGTTTTTAGTAAGTCTAGATTATAACTTTTTTTTGGTATTGAGATAATCAAGGTGATGAAATTTAAATTTATATTTATTAGGGCATCCTCAATAGACATAGTTTTTAATAATTTTTTTGCAGGGATGAATAGTAGAGAGAACATCGAAGATAAAAGGGATCGAAAAATAAAAAAGAAAAATAAAAAGACAACGGAAATTAGGCGCACTCCACATGCCCACCTGGACACTTTAGGTGCGCTTTATGCGTCTTGAAAAACCATATCTCCCTACAACACTCTCAATACTTCTCTCTCCTTCACATGTAAATTCAAACTTATAAAAATCACCTAAAAATCCACTATTGTGGATGCTCTTACTCGAAAAGAGATATAATTTACCTTGAAATTGTATTCTAAACATTATCCAATTCATAATATATCTAATTTTATCAATATAGAAATATAAATTTTCCTTATTAAAATTACTCTCTAATGGCCTAATGTTTACCAACAAGCATTAGCTATAAAATGACTTTATAACATTTACTCATATGAACTCTCTATTGACTCCCAATAAAATTAATCAATTCACATATGACCAATAAAAAATATAAAATTTTCAAACATTATAAATGAACCATTATTATTATTATTATTATCATTATTATTATTATTATTATTATTATTATTAAGACAACCCGTAATCACTATTCAATAGTGTGCAGTGTGCATACTGCGTGAGATTAATCCAGTTTTAAAAAATTATTATTATTATTTTGGGACCACTTTTCAGAAAATAATTCACAACCTACACATGAGAAGTAAAACGCTGGCAAAAATCAAACTTTTGATATTTAGGTAAGAAAATCATGTTTTACCGACTTAATTATTCATTTTTAAGCAATTATTATTATTATTCTTCCAAAAAGTTGAACCCCAACCTTAATGGCCCCCACACCCCGACCCGACAGAGCATTTGGGAAGATGTAAATCATGGTAACTCAATTGAACATGAACCACATAGGCTAGATCTTTGCTCACTGCGCACAAGGAACCCCCCTCACTTTGAGAGGTTGTTCCCACACTGGCAATTATTATTATTGCATATTGTACTGGTATCTGCATCTCACGAGGGAGAGAAATTTTGTAAAACATTAGGGGGGAAAAAGCAAAAAAAAAAAAAAAAAAAAAAAAAAACAGTAGCACTACACAGGAAGAGGTCATAGAGAAGCACTACACAAAACCTGCCCTTCCTTTTCCTCTCCCCTTCCCCATTTCAACCTTCCTTTCCCAACCATTTAATTATTTAATAATATTTATTCTCAGATTCCTCCAATGGTCTTTTTCTTTTCGCCATTGGATTGTACAGAGCTTGTCAGCTATAACTAAACCACCCCCAATCTCAATCTCTCCCTTTCCTCTATACTCATACCTATCTCTTTGTCTTTGCTCTTTTTTTCTGTGGTTTTTCTGGGATTTTTACACCCATACTCCTCTGGGTTTTCTGCCTTTTCAACGCTAAATTTCTATTCAATCTATTGCAGAAACAGTTTTCACACCCAGTACTCCATTTCTGCTGTATAAAAAGCTCAGGATAACAATCAAGACTCGCATACATACATAGACATATATAATTTTCAGTTTTTTTTTTTTGGGATTTGTTTTTATTAAAAAAAGCCTGCTTTTTTATTCGGGATTGTCTCTGAATTTCGTTGTTTGAAATTAAGGGAGGAAATTAAATTCACAGATATGGGAAAGCAAGGACCTTGCTATCACTGTGGTGTTACCAGTGAGTTTAATTTTTCTGCTTATAAGTGTTTGTGTAGGCAAGAAAAGATTGAGTCTTTGTGATTGTTTCCTGCTGGGGTTGTTCTTGTTTGCTGTAAATGGCTGTCTGTGATTAGATTATGTATTGAATTATGGACCTGGATACCAATAGGTTGGTGTTATTGGACAATGAAGAATAATGGATAGTATGTGCTGTTTTGATTGTGTTGTTAAGGTGTTGTAGAGCTATGGCTTCCCATAAACTGTGGGTTTCAACAATGGGTCTGAGTTTTAAGCTTGAATTCAACAAGCTCAAATGCAATTTAAACGTTTTGCTAAATGTATTGCCTATACCATCCTGCACTGCAATTCGTGATTTTGAACCTCCTTAGTGGAAAAATGTATGCAATCTGGGGCCTGATTTCCTGCTAGATTTATAATCATATACTCCATAGTTCTGCTGGGAATTCTGTGGCACATACACCGTTGTTTTGATCACATGCTCATATGCTGTTCATTACTTGAATGGGAAACGTCTTGCCCCGAGCATTTCTTGATTGTTTGAGATTATAATTATGCTTTTCTTATGTTGGAGCTCTTAACGGTTTAAGGTATCTAGAGAAGTGCTGCATTTATTTAGGTCGCTTTTGTTCATTGATGTAGTCATTTCTCAGTCTGCAAGTTTTATAAAGAGAATTTGACTCTTTGAGTGGAAAGACGTATGCTTTTAGCATTGTTATAGTTTCTCTCCGTTCCATCTTATCTAAGAAGCTTGCTCTTATTGTGTGTTGAAGTATGAAAAACGGATAATTATGCAGTTGTTTTCATTCCATTCTTCCCCGAATTACTCGGGATTGATCCTGTCCATCCACTATTGTGCAGGCACCCCACTTTGGCGTAACGGGCCACCAGAAAAACCAATTCTGTGCAATGCATGTGGGTCACGATGGAGAACGAAAGGAACATTGGCAAACTACACTCCTTTGCATGCTAGGGCAGATTCCGGTGACTTTGAGGACTACAAGGTTTCTAGGGTCCGACACATACCTGTTAAAAACAAAGAGGCAAGATTTCTTAAAAGGAGGCAAAATTACGATTGTTTCGAAACTGGGATTGCTCCAGAGTCTAGTCATGGTTTCCGTAAGAGTTTAGATGAAGATACGAGCAATAGATCGAGTTCTGGCTCTGCTGTCTCGAATTCAGAGAGCAGTGCACAATTCGGTGGTACTGAAGTTAGTGATTTGACAGGTGAATCTTCGGTTTTTTCTATATATATATTTTTGAGTACTATTGACTCTGTTACAATGTAGTATCTGTTCATATATACTTGCTTGATCTCAACCTACTGAAGCACAAAGAGTAGTTTAGGACTTAATATCTTGTATCCATCATGACATTATGGTCAAAAGTTCCAAAGGCCCATTAAACCGTATGCTTCTTTTCCAGGTCCCGCTCAAGCTAATATATGGGATACAACGGTGCCTTCAAGGAAGAGAACGTGTCTTGGCCGCCCAAAGCCATCGTCTGTTGAGAAGCTTACGAAAGATCTATACACTATCTTACATGAGCAACAGTCATCCTACCTCTCGGGATCTTCTGAAGAGGATTTGCTATTCGAGAGTGATAGACCGATGGTCTCTGTTGAGATAGGACATGGGAGTGTCCTAATTCGGCATCCAAGCTCGATAGGTAGAGAGGAAGAGTCGGAGGCGAGCTCTCTTTCGGTTGATTACAAGCAACATTCTTTAAACGAGTCTTATTTACGATTCTCTAATAAGGGTGCTAATGCACCAAATGTGGGAAGTGAGAGAATCAAGAAGCCTACTGGACAAGGAATGGATCAAGAACAGGTGAAGAGGTAATTTCCTCGTTGATCTTAGGCCTATCGAGATAAAATTATGGGTACTTTTGCCACATGATTCTCACACGGGTGCATTATGTATCTTCATTTTTCATTTCGTTGGGTTGTTGGCCATTGTTATTCAGTTTCATTATCTGATGCATCTGACTAGCTCGTTTTTTTGAATTTCAGGGATAAGGATCAGCTCGAAACATTGCAAATTCTAGCTCATCACGATTCACCGTTAAGTTATATAGATCTAAAGGTAAATGCATCCATTTCAATGTGTTGGAACTTGGAATAGAAGAATTTCCACTTTTTTTTTTAGTACTACTGACTCTGTTACAATGTAGTATCTGTTCATAACTACTTTCTCAACTTACTGAAGCACAAAGAGTCAATACCGCCTCCACTGAGGCTCGAACCCACAACCTCCCATATGGGAGTGCAACTTGGTGCCACTAGACCACAAGGTCCTTGGCTCTACGTTCTTTCTATTCCGGGCCTTTTAGTTCCTTGTGAATCTAAAATTTTAATTTCTAAATCAATGATAAACTCTTGAAATACTTGGCTGTATCATATCCGTTTTTCTTGTCTTTGTTTTGTTCTTATATCTTGGTTTATACTCGGCAAGTTTCTAGTCCTAACAAGCATGGAACCATAGATGAACATTATTTCTAATGTTTGTGCCTTTTCTTATTAAGCATTGCTCAATCTTGACGAAATTATTTTCAATATTTCATGCAGGAAATCGTCAATTTTGATGAGTTCACCGCTCATTTGACAATCGAGGAACAGCAGCAACTAGTGAAATACTTGCCAATTATCGATACTTTTGCACCGCCAGATAGGTTTGTATAGTCTCCTTCACGTCCATTTGGCAAAACTTCGTGAGAGGAGTAAATACGTAAACTATAGTCATGAACTGATCGTGTGCCCGTTTCTTTATTGGTAGTTTCAAAGGCATGTTCGAGAGCTGTCAATTCAAGGAGAACTTATTGTCATTCCAGAAACTACTAGTAGACGGAGTTTTCGATAACTCATTGTCGGGCGTGAAAGTAGAAGATTGTAGAACTTTGAAGAGATTTGCGTTGTGCAACTTGACAAAGTCCAAGTGGGTAGAACATCATAATCATCTTGAGGTTTGCACTTCGGGTCTTATATATGACCGTGTTATTAAGAATTACTCTTACCTTTTAAGATTTGCAAGTTTATGTTTTTGAAGCGTTTCGCTATGTTTTAGGATGTAAAGTGTAAAAATCGTAGCAAGGGGTCTGAAGTTGCGGGAGAGTCCGAGGTTTTTGGCGCTGGATTTTCTGTAAATGTTAAACGGCCGCGAGATGGGCAGCATCCAAAACTTTCAGGTCTGCAAATTTCTCCTCTTTGATACTTCGAATGTTTCTGTTTGGTGATCGGTTTTAAGATTTTACGAATTTCGGTTAACGATTAATTCAATTTCAAATAAAATTGAGCAAGAAAGGGAAAATACCGATATAATTCTATTGTAGGATTCATAACAAACCTATCCCACACGCCTCCAGCTTTCCTCTATATCATGGTTGCAGTAGACGCTAGGCGCTAGTTGGGCGGCAGAGTAGCACCTAGCAAGGCCGAGTCGACCGGGTTAACTCGGCTATAACTCGACCTCGACCGAAATGGACGAGTTAACTCAGCCGATGGCCAGTTGCCTAGATGGGCGCCTAGGGGTAAAATCGTCACGGCCTAGGGGCGCCTAGCGCAGTAGCGCCTGGACCGATTTTTGCAACAGTGCTCTATATATACCAAACTACTTATGGATATCGATTTAAATTAGACGCAAGAATTTATTTGCGTTATATTTTCCGTTTCTTCAGGCGCAAACACAGGAATGAAGAGTCCGAAAAGGGCGACGAATAGGTTCAGTAGTGGACACAAGGAAACATCAGACAGCGACGCCTCTTGTTTCACGCCAAAACTCCTATCTGCATTGCCCTTCGATTACAGTTCCGTCGTGCTAGATTCTATCGGTTTTGCAACCGAAAGCTCGGACCAGGACCTGCTGCTGGATGTTCCATCCAACAGCTCGTTCCCCGAGGCCGAACTTCTCCCCGTGTCGAGCTTCATCGTGCAGGCGAGCACCAGCAGCAGCTCGGTGTACCACCATCTCGCCCGGCCCTAACGAATACTTCTCGTGATGTCGTTATATATGCTTTCACATGGTGATTATAGATTTATAGTCCACTGTTTTGCATAACACAGATATCTGACAATGAGGATTGTGGATAGTTTGGTTGCCCTTTTTCCCCCTTTGCCCCCTTCACCTATTTGCCTTTATGAATTCAAATTTTGATCCTTTGGGGAATGGATGCCATTGGGGTTTTCTTTTGTATAGGATGATGATCAGCATTGTATAATGGTTTTTGTTGGCCATGAAGTTTACTTCTTTTTTTCTCACTGGCATTGATGCCTAAGAAGAGATTGCTAGCAGTCATCTTTAGATGTATCTCATACATATGATTAAAGATTGTTCGATTTATGAGAAAGTCTGTAGCCGTTACTTGAAAGTGCGATTTGGGTAAAGCTTGTTTAGTGATTTTAGTTTACAAACGATCACAAGATGGTAAACCAGTCTAGCTATTTCATAGCTGATCGGCTCAAACTGAGAAAGCTAATAGGCTATTCTCTTTGGAATTTCATAGTTGTCAAGCCGACAATTTGATCAAGTCTAGCTATTTCATAGCTGATCGGCTCAAACTGAGAAAACTAGGCTATTCTCTTTGAAACTTCATAGTTATCAAGCCGATAATGTGATCAATTCAACTAAGGTTGCCCTTATGTTAGTTTATTTTTGTCCCGAAAGGAATGACTAGGTGGGTCAAACATGATTTTCGTATTCAAAAATTACGAGTTTGATTTTGTTAATACCTTCTCAGCTTAATTTGTTGCACCGGATCTTCCTAAGATTTACTTGGTACACACTTACAAATTTTTGTAGAGTTTATACATATTGATCCAAAAAGTACATACTAATGGCAAAAAAGTGTTAATACTAATCCAGATTCATTTCGAGTTAGAACTAATCCTAAAATCCCTCCGGTGGCCACCACCGGGGCCGGGGAAATTCCCAACCATGCCTCTCAGCCGTCTCCAATAAACTGAAACCCTCTCCGCCGCCATGGCCGCCATCACTGGCCTTCTCAAGCACGCCTTGCAAAACCTCCATCAAGTCCTTAAAACCCCCAATTTTCACGCCGCCATCACTAGCCTTCTCACATCCCCCCATTGACGCCGGCAATTTTCGCTTCCCCAAACAGCCATTGGACTCTCTCCGGCGAGGCTCCGGCGCTGTTTTCTTCTTCCTGATCAACCCTTCCTCGTTGCCATCGGAATCGGAATCGGAATCCAAATCCATCACCTCAATGCGCACCTGCTCCTTGCCATTCGGTCTAGGGTTTTCGGATCCGGAGAGATAGGGTTGGGAGGTGGTTCGGCCAGCTGAACCGCTCTCCCGAGACGACACCGTGAAAATGGCGGGCTGCTGCGGCGGCGGCGGCGTCCGCGGCGGGGAAGACGAAACTGAGTTGGAGTTCTCCGGGAAGGCTCCGGCGAAATCGCAGCTCCGTAGCTTCTCCTCCTGTGAAGGCGTTATTGTAGCGAGAAGGTGTTCTGCGTCTTCCATTTCTGTGCGGCGATGGAGGGAGGGAGGGAAGGAAGGAGGGGAAGAGAGAAAGTTGCAGTCTTTGAATAGAGAAAACCAGTCAGCAAACCTTTCTGCCTTTTTTGGGATGGATTTATTATTATTATTTTTGCTGGGGTTTTATTATTTTTTAAATAACTCTTGGCCTTTGGATTCCCGCCTTTTTTTTTTCATCAACGGCCAACGTGTCCTGATCCTTTTATGTCAATCTATGTGAGTCCTAAAAAAAGTGTCTAAATAAAAAATATTAGGATATATGTTGGTGCTCCGGCATAGCTTACACGTGCTTCTGGTACAATGAGCAGCTAGATTGGGTCTGCTAAGTGTCACTAAAGATTTGATTAAGGTAATGTTACGCTCAATCTAGACCAGGAGTGTGCTTACACATGCTCTGATACAATGGGTGGCTAAATTGGTTGTTACGCTCAATTTAGGCCAAGGAGTGTGCTTACACATGCAAGGTTTGATTAGTATGGTAATGTTACGCTCAATCTAGGTCAAGGAGTGTGCTTATGCGCTGCTAACCGGGAGGGGTTCAATAAGCCCGACCAAGGTCGGTAAGTAAACATAGGTATTATCTCTTCTGAGGTTACTAGTGGGTTGACTTTGGCTTTGTTGGGGTAAGATCAAGTCGGGGTCTACACTCTACACAGAGTCATGTCTATTCACATCAATAATAGACTAAAGAAAAAATAAAAGAATTAATTAATGACGCTGAAGCATGTGGTCAAGGAGGTAACAATCACTCTCAAATAATGGGAACCATAGATGAACATTATTTCTAATGTTTGTGGTGTGGTCAATAAGCCTGTATTTCAATATAGAGAAGGCCGGGGAGAAGTATGAGTATTGAGGTTGTATATAACAAAACTTTCAAAGTAGTTATTTCTAAAATTAGTCTTTAAACTATATATAAGAATAATCATTCAACTATGAAAACTTGTAAAACCCTAATAAAATATAATGAATTTAAAAAAAAAAAAAAAACAGTATGAAATATAAAATAAATAAAACACATAAAATTAACAATAAAAACCAATATAATAGATTATGCAATGGGCGCAAGTAACTAATTAATAATGTCTCAAAATTAATTATGTGAACAACTAACACAATACAAAATTGAAAAATCAACACTCACACAACGGCTCGACAAAATCTGGGATGAATAAAATAGATTTATTCATCATTCTAAGAGTGTGGTGTGAGATTCTTCCATTCCGAAAATATCACACGGCCTTTACCAGTCTCACCTCTAAATATGTTTTTTTGCCAGACAATATTTCAAGAATCCCGGACACAAATATACGCACACAATCCGCCACGATAAACTCAAGCAGCTCCTCGTCCATTGCCATCCGTTCTTTCCAAAAATATATTTCTTCAATCCTTTGACACAAACACATGCCAACAATCCAACATGGCCTTTACCTGTTCCACCTCTAATTTTACTATTTCTTCTTCTCGTTTTGGACTCGTATCCACGATGCATTGTGGACACGGATCCACAACATAATTTGCGTGTAAAACCCGCAAGCTAATTCTCCGTAGTATTACTCTACAAACTACGGGCTGTATCCACCTACCTGCCTACTGATTTGGAGACGCCATCACTTGGGCAGTTGGCACTTGGATTTTTCAATCCCTCCACATACGTACAAACAGTTGTGATTAAAAAAAAAAAGAAAAAAAAAAAGGAAGAAGTGTTTCTATTATGAATATATATTAGGATTTGTTCAATGGATTGATTGCATCACTTGAGATTGATTTATATAGTAGATTTAAAGATGAGATCTAGTGGACTTAGAATTAGCGTAACAAAATTGAGATCACCTAAATATAAATAAAAAATGTGTGTTTTTTCATAATAAAAATTACATACAATGTAATTAAATTAAAAATTTAAAAAATTAATGGCCAACTTGTGATTGTGCATAATTATTGTATTCGAAAGTTACAAGTTCGATTCATGTAAACACTTAAAAAAAAATTAGATGATCACTGGACCCAACATCATTTTTTTTTAAACCAAGAAACGAAATTCAACATCAGATTCGAGATAGACATAACTTTGGTCTGGAGCAGATATTTTTGGAAAACTGTAATGATTATTCATTGTGAATTGAATTTTATATGTGATATGAGCTGAGCAGATATTTTTGGAAAACTGTAATGATTATTCATTGTGAATTGAATTTTATATGTGATATGAGCTTGAGCTGATATTTTTAGAAAACTGTAATGATTATTCATTGTGAATTGAATTTTATATGTGATATGAGCTGAGCTGATATTTTTGGAAAATTGTAATGATTTGTGAATTGAAAAACTGTAATGATTTGTGAATTGAATTCAGGACATGTAGAACTAGAAGTTCAAAACATACTATTGAATGTAGAGGCATTCAAGCTTCCCATTGGAGTTAAAGCTGCATACATTGAATTAGCTAACTTCAGTGTTCGTAAACTAACTTAATTTCTTTGTAATGTCTAATGTTTAATATTTTGTTTCTAACGTTTTTATATTTCTTAATTATAGGTTCCATTGTTCAAGCTTGGCAGTGAAATTGTTAAGGCTGCTTTTGAAAATGTTTATATATTACTTGAGCCGCCTGCAACCCAGGTTGGTTGGCAGTGAGCTTGCTGTCAACAATATGAATCAAAACATGATACGAGTGAGATTTCTTTTTTTTTTTTTTTTTTTTTGAATTTTAAATTTTGACTGTTTTGGTTAGATTAAATTACATTGTTCATGATTAGGAATTGAAAAACATGTTGGTTTCAAGTTCCAAAGTTGTGGAGACTTCTATAATGGTACACACCTTATCCTTAACTATTGTTTTAACTAAATAATAATGGCTGTTAGTATGTTTGAATATGTGCTATTGATGGTTTTTTGATTATGTTTTTAGGAACACTCTGTAATACGATCTTTTGTACGACAAATGAATGGAAATTGGATGGTTTCCATAAACAACATACGCATTAGCTATGACGATGCTGAGCAGTAAGTGTCATCCATTGGTTCATAATTTCAGTCACTGCACTACTGACTCTTACTCTTACACTGTGCAGCTTTCCAGAACATCCACTGGTTGCGGTTCTAACTGTTGATAATCTCACTGTTGGTGACTATGAGAACAAGATCCAGAAGGTATAATTTATCCATTGTATTATACAATAAATATATAATTTGCTCACTTTTTTATTTATTTATTTATTTTTTCTTTATATTGGGCATGTAATAGCCTGTGCAGTTTGAAAATGTTAAAATCTGCTTGGATGGTGAGCTGCTACCAGTTGTTGAATTGGAGAAAGTGATTGGGAGTGCGAAGTTCTGTTAAAGACTGGACTGGCTTTTTTTGGGTATTTTGACTCTAGTATATGATAGATGTTTGCTGCCCTTTTATTTGGTATATAATTGACTCTAGTATATGATAGAAAAATTGTTATTCAATTTACCATTTTTGATGTGCCGGTCACATCAGTCATGCTAAATTTACTTTTGCCCAAGTGGTGTGGGGCCTTGGACTGAAACTCTCCCATACCCTTTCTGTCTAGAAACAGGTGTATCCCCAACAGCATCTGCAGAATACTATGTATCTCAATTGAAAATTGTATTACAAATCAAAACTCACCCCAGGTTCGTGTATGTCCAATAATACCAGGTTCGTGTATGTCCAATAATATATTTTTATTTTCAGGAAAGAGTCCAATTGAGCACAGATGGTGGCTCTGATACCATAACAGATGAGCTCTGATAACAGATGGTGGCTCTGATAACAGAACAAATACACTACAAACAACATCACTACCAATATAAGCGTGTTAATGAAATGGATTGCTACAAGATATTTTACGACTGATCATTAAGTTTAAACAATGAAATGGACACTTTTTTTAGGCACAAATAAATAACTCCTGCTCATAACTCAAATATTGAAATCAATGCACATATTTAAACATACTCAGAGTCATTATTTAGTAAAAACAATAATTAAGGATCAAAATGTGTACCATTACAGAAGTCTCCACCATTTTGGTACTTGAAACCAACATGTTTTCCAATTCCTAGTGCATAAACAATGCAATTTCATTTAACCAAAACAGTCAAAATTTAAAATTCAAAAAAAAGAAAAAAAAAAGAAAAAAAAAAAAAAAGAAGAAGTCTCACTCGTATAAAGTTTTGATTGATATCTTTGACTGCAAGCTCACTGCCAACCTGGGTTGCAGGCGGCTCAAGTAATATAAAACATTATCAACAGCAGCCTCAACAGTATATCTGTCAAGCTTGAACAATGGAACCTATGATTAAGAAATATAAAAATGTTAGAAACAAAATGTTAAACATTAGACATTACAAAGACATTATGTTAGTTTACGAACACTCAAGTTTGCTGATTGAATGTATCCAGCCTTAACTCCGATAGGAAGCTTGAATGCCTCTACATTCAATCGTATGTTTCGAACTTCTACATGCCCTGAATTGAAGTAACAATTCAATTCACAAATCTCATATTATATATTACAATTTTCCAAAAATGATCAGCTCATATCACATATCACACATTTCCAAAAAGTGAATAATACAAGATGATTCACAATGACACCATTGAATACCTAAATGAAATAAAAATTCAATTCACAAGCTCATATCATATATCAAGTGAACTTACAACAATTATATTACAACATTGAATATATAGCTAAGTGAAAACTTCTATTAAACAACAAAGTGCTAAATGCACTTAGCACAATTACAACATTGAACAATTACCTCACCAGGATTTGAGATAGACATTCACACCCTTTTTGTCTAGAAACAGGTGTATCCCCAACAGCATCTGCAGAATATGACACTCCGAAGGTTAACATTGCTGTGCTACTTCAAATATAATGAAGACAAACCTTCACACACCGAAGTAAATGCTTTGAGAGTGAGAGAGAGAGAGAGTGAGAGAGTAAGAAATGTTCCTCAAGTTAAGTAAGTGTCACTTTCAGTTTCAATGATTTCTATTTTAAGAAAATCTCTCCAAAATAAAATCGTGTCTGTTTTTTTGTGTGTATGCGTGCTTAACTGAATGTGATTGTGGCACGTGACTCCAAAATTCTCTAAAATCAAATCGTTTGTGATTGTGATTGTGGCACGTGACTCCATTTAGATTCTTAGGTATTTTACAATACAATGCCCCATTCTGTTCTTATTTTTTATTATATATATAGTTGTTAATTAGTGTTTTAAAATGCTTGACAAAACCAAAGTGAAATAATAGTGTTCTAGTATGTATATATCTTGGACAGAACCATCAACATAGCCGTGGAGGTTGAAGTCAACGAGTGTAGAGTGAACCTGGCGCCTCCAGGCTGGGAAATTTGTGGAGGTAAGTGTAATGGCAAAATTAGATGTGGCAGAAAGGTAAATGATATCGGTAGTGGCAGCCATTTGATAAAGAGTGAAAGAAAGAGGAAAAAAAAAAATTTCGTAGGAGGTTCTGGCTCTGATACCATATAAGGAAATGAACTGTTGTATATTGATGAAGAAGCTAACATGTATAAATAGTATATACAGGAGAACAAGTAGCTAAGAAGTTGTAACCACTACTCTAATATACCTATTCTAAAGGAATATAATTTGAATAAGTATAAACAGAAAACATCAACCACATATTCTTAACATACTCAATGTTTACTATCAATGATTACAACATTGTAGTAGGGTTAGCTGAATGGGGATCGGAAAGCAAAAATGTTGTGTGTTTTGGGTACTCTGTAATTTGTAGTCTACTCTACTCAACTATGCAATAGATAATTAATTTGTTCCTTGTTCCAAAAAATGCTTTTTGTTCTGATTCAATTTTAAAACACAAATACTAACCATCTAAATTAATAAAAGGAGTTTGTCCTAAACTAATAATTTGTGTTTCAACATAATACATGTCAATATAATAGAGTAAACCTCTTATTGTTTTCAAGCTCGAAATATCTTGTTGCATCTCCAATTTCTGATTCATGTTTCTACTGACTGCTCATGATATATTTGTTCTTTCAAGTCTGTGTCGTTGAAAATAGTACCTACAAAAAGTAGTTTGTTTTCTACATTATGTGGTCTTTGGACATAACATGCCTTAACCTATGGATAGATCAAGGATCACTCTTAGGCATTGATGCACGTCTTGTTTGCCCTTTACACCTCCCTATTTAAGGTAAATTAATTCTATAGCATTTTATTTTGACTTTATATTTCCCAAATACTTTCATCTGTCTGAAAATAAAAAATTTCATCAATTGGTATAGAAGGATTAAATAAGTGGTAGCCAACATTTTTGAAGTAAGCCCAAATTAGTAGTAGATTTAAAGGTGTAAAAAATCATGTATGTACCTCTGTACTTAATTATCACTTTTTGACTTGCTTGCTTGCAACTGAAAACCTTTTGTGGTTCATGCATGTAAATGCAATCTTATATATTTATATGTATACTGCTTAAGATATGAAACTAACTAAACAATAAAGCAATTGATGGTACTGGAAAAAAACAGCACCAATTGTTATTTAACTTTCAACTAACCTCATGGAATAGGCACTCTATACTCCTGATTTCTTTCCTTTTATTAATTTCAGGCACTTCATACATCCTCACCAATTAAAGGGATTTTTCCTCTCCTTGACTTCCTTGGCTTCAATGTAAATGTGGAATTTCACTGCACGGCATGTGATATTTATAAGATATTTCTCACCAAAATTTAGATTAAAAAATTGTAATCATTATTTTTCTAACATGCTTGTTGAATTGTTTTTATTGTAACTTGTAAAAGTAAATATATTGGTAAGTGTAACTCCCAATTTTCATTGGGAAGCAAATTCTCTGCGGTCCATATTACAAATATAATTGTTGTTATTATCATGGTATAAAACTTTGCTCTATTGCATCCATATTTTCAGTGGTATGCAGTGTACACTATTTGTAATTTTGTATTAAACCACCACTAAAACGTAAAAATGTAATTTATTTTAACTGTTTGAAAGTTGCAGTCTTTGAATAGAGAAAAGCAGTCAGCAAACCTTTTTGCCTTTTGGGGGATTCATTTATTATTACTATTATTATTATATTATTTTTTTTAAATAACTCTTGGCCTTTGGATTCCAGCCAATTTTTTTGCATCATCGGCCAACATGTCTTGATCTTTTTTTTTTTCTCTCTCATTTTTGTCTTTCTCCTACACAACATTCTTAAAAATTCCAACTAATGTTGATGCTCGTTGATGTTCAAATGAGGATTGAAGTATAATTAAGAGCAAGCTCGATGGTTGTGATTTTTGCTTAGTGTTTGTGAATCATAATAGGAAAGAGAAAGAGGAGAGAAGAAGGAAAAAAAAAATAGATTCACGCCCTCGGATGGGCACATTAGTGCACAGGATTCGCGTAAAATTTGTTTTCTCTGGCCCAACAAAAAAACTTGTATTTGCAGGGATAAAAATCAACTAAAATCCATTCTCTAAATTAGTCTAAAATTCATGTTGTAGTTTTTCTTTCTAAAAAATTGAGCAAAAACCTCTAATGGGGTTGCTGTAAGGACTTAAATTGAGAAGACTAAGGAGCTTTCTGAATTTATCTAATGCATACTCTCAGGTGATTTACAAACTATTATACCGAAATAGAATTTTCAATTTACTTAAAATGTTTTAGTAGCAAACTATTACATAAAAATAAAGTTTATCCAATGCACACTCCAAGTTAGTGACAACAGGTTACTCTTATCATCCTAAACCGGTGCTCAAATTACCACAACTTTCATGAAATGAAACCATTGATCATAGAAAAAAGGGAACACATTTTGTTCTACATTTCACTAAAAAAAAAAAAAGCATTTTTACAGCATCATCATGTACTCTCATCAGTAATATTAAACTCTAAGAACATGTAATGAAACTTGTAATGACAATACTACAGAACAATACAAGTTCTATTGAATAGCCTTTCTTCGATGAATTGCCGGTAGATGGTGGATTGCCAAACGTCGAATTCTGCCTGGAAAAAACTTGCAGTATCACTTTAAATCAGAGTTCTATGTCAAAGAAACGGGGATGATAACGATGAACTATTGGAAGCTATGCATATACCTTGATTGCCCATCAAATACCTTGTGGGATGTTTTAATTTAGACAAACCGGGCCTTCTTCACGTCAGACATAATGCTTTTATCTTCGTTGCCCCTCTCGTTGTAAAGAACCTTCAGAATATGGAGTCAAAATGCAAGCTACATATATGGTGTTATGGAATTAAAAAGAAATTATATTCATTGGAGGCACCTTATCAATGATTCCATATTCGACTGCTTCACTTGGGCTGAAATATTTTGGGCGTCTTATGTCCTCTTCAATCTGTTCTTGTGTTTTTCCCATATGTTTTGCGTAGAGTTTCACCTTCAAAACACAAATATAGTGTGAAAAAAGTGCCATTTAAGCATAGGCAGCTATCATTTTAAGAACAAATAAATATTCATAAAGGAACAGATTTCCAGGTTCTATTTCTCAACTGATACATGGAATAAGAAAGGCGAACAATGGTTTCGAATAAGATAAAATTTTACCAACTCATCTTTCACGTGCTTCATTTCTTGCCTCATTATATTGACATCTGTTGCTTGGCCCTGAAACCGACCGATAGGCTGCAAACAGAAGAAGATAGGTAGAGTGAGAGAGAGAGAGAGAGAGAGAGAGAGAGAGAGAGAGCATATCCATTTAAAATAACAAAAAAAAGAAGAAGAGGCAATCAAGAAAATGAGAAAGGAACAATAACAAAAAACTTGAAATACCTGTTTGATCATGATTGTCGATGAAGCCAAGGCAGCACGATTTCCTGTTGCACCAGCTGCCAGAAGCAATGCAGCTTCCCCCCAAGCGTTGCCTACACAAAGTGTGAAAATAGGTGGCTGGACATGCCTGCGATAGAAAATAGAGTCTCCGCTTTTCAGAAAATGTTAGATTAAATGAAGAAATGGAGACTTTGTGTCATTAATTTGTAGGCAGATCGAAAGAGAATAATGGATAGAGCAAAGATTCATAACCTCATGGCATCATAAACAGCAAAAGCCTCTGTTTCATATCCCAACTTTTCACCACCCTGCAAAAAATCTGTGTTTAGACATCTCTAAAATTCTACTTGGAGTGCACCAAAATGATGAGTGCAATAGTTAAACATGTTCAAACATGGAGTGACTTGTAAAGAAATGTGAGCAAAGTCACGATGCCATACCTTAGTTGTACCAGTGGAATTAATGTAAAAGTAAATTGGTTTACTCGCATCTTCATACTGAAGGTATATAAACTCTGCTAGTATCAGTTCAGTCACGGAAGGAACCAGAGGCATGCCCAAATAAACTATCCGATTCTTATACAAGTAAGATGCTAAATCCGGAGGAGGTTGCTCCCAAGCACTTCCCTTCGAGAAAGGAATGACCTGTTTAAAAAATGTGGCAAACAACAAATGAGAGTTTATCATAGGAACTCTTCATACTTCCAACATTTGGGCCTTTGGCACATACAATGATCAATGAGAATAAGCCAACAAAATAACGAGCAACAATAAAAAGCAAAAATGAATCAAGTTGGCATCTCAAATAAGACAACCAGTCCTCATAACAAAACTACCATGTAAGAAAATCACAGTACAAGAACATTTTGCGATCACACTCATTAGCTTCTTTTGGAAACTTTTTACCCAACAATCAAAAGGGTCTAAATGCAATAAGTCCGCTAGTTGCACTTGAGCCCTCACTTATGAAACACCAAGTAAGTCCTTAACTTCACCACTTCCTCATTCTAAATATATTATACCATTTCACATCATGCACTGCACTAATTAACTAAATATAACTTCCTTTCCTTTGCCAGCTAGGGTCACAATGAGGGGTTTACCCAGTGCACACCTTCGGGTAGTGGCTGCGGGTTTCCCTCGTCACCCAAAATATAGCTTCCTTTCTTCTTCCCCATTAGAAACAATCATGTCAAATTCTACTTGCGAATTAACCACAACTTTCATAAGCAAGATCCTAGCTCCATTTTTTTTTTTTCTTTTTCTATGACCAATATATATATATACCAAAGCAACTAGGCATTCTAAATGAGCTTATAAACAAATATGATACATTGTGCTAACCAACCAATGTAAGTTTGCTAAAAAATTCAAACCTAATCCAAGTCAACTGCACTACTCAGCTATAAGAGCAGCAATTGAAGCTAAAATTACTATTTTTCTTGACAAATGTGCTGCAATCAATTGTGTGCTTACTGCTACTAATCTTTTCACAAGAAAGTTTCTACCTTTTACTGCAAAGTTTACACCTTTCCTCGTTTGTTCTTACAATTGTACCTATCTACCACGACTAAACAAATAAGATTTGGAAACAGAAAAACTATTTCGCAGTAATTGCTCAATTAACACTAAAGACGAGAAGATACCATAGTGAAAACGCCGCGTTTAGGGCGGGAGCTGGGAGAAGAAGGGTTGAGGGAATTAGGTCGAATTTTATAGCCCGAAAATTCGGAGAGTGCACTGCCGGCGGCGGAGGGAGAGAGGAAGCTGGTGGAGAGAGAGAGCCTGGGAGAAGGAGATGACGTCAATGCTGCGCCGGAAAGTGACGCACGGGAGCTCGCACGTGACGGAAGCATGGCTCGGGTCGTCGGAAAGATGTGTGAAGCCATGGTTGCTGCTTCCATGGATGAGAGAGATTGAGAGTAGCGTAATGGATTCGTATTAGGCTAGAGGAGAAAAATGGAGTAGGATACGGGTGACCCGATTAGCTACCGAACCGGCCCAATATAAATTAACAAATTTTTAAAGGAAAAATGGTCAAATAAGCTATCAAATTTTACCTAATAAGTCAATTAGACCTCTAAATTTTTTAAAATAGCAATTAAACTTATTAATATTGTATATTTGTGTAATGAATTTCAAGAATCAGTTAGTGACTTGCTATTACTGGTCACTAAGATTCTGGACAATTTCGATGATATTTCTGACAATAAAAAAATGACATACGGTTGCCGATTAATGAACAGAGGAGAAGGCAACCCGTGGTCCGGTGGGTTGCCTTCGCACTGAGAAGGCGATCAGAGAAACCCAATGAGAAGGCTAATTCCAATCAAATTAATTTGGTGATTACAGAGTTTTAAATTTGACTTTTAATGAGAATGATATATTGAATTTTTTAATTTGACCGGTCAATAAAAAACAGTTTAGGTGAGTTTACATAGTGTCACTCTTAGTTAGAGTATACGTTAATACAACTATGTCAACTATGGACAACTCAAACAATTAGAATATAATACAGTCGATACAATCATACATATGATCATGAATAAGAAAGAATGTATCCGTATGAACAGTTCAACTGATTATAGAAGTGAAAAATTGGAAGAATGACCAAAGATCGAGTCTCACTAGTCACAGAACTCACAGTGTGAGAGCTACCTCTCAAAATGGTCTAACTTCTAAACTTGATTTATCTCTATACCACTCTTGACGAGATTATTAAATAAAAAATCAAAGGGAACTTATAGTTTGAATTACTAGTAATTCAAAATAGTGAAAATTTATGAGTCTTCACAAAGATTGCCCCAAAGATTCATCATTGATCATAGTAACCACTAACCATGGCCCTTTCCTCATCAGCTCCTCCACCTCTCTCTTCTTCTTCCTCCAAGCCCCACCTCTCCCACAATCTCTATCTATCTTTCCTTCCCAAGAACCCTCACAATCTCTCAGTCTTTGTTCCCGCGAGGGCTGTCGACGATGGGTCTGCCCTAGCTTCCGCAGCCGTCGCTGTTGAGCTGGAAAAACCTCAAGAAAAGGCGATTGAAGCTCCCGTGGCCGGTGGGGAATCTAATGCCACGGATTCGAACTCCAATGGGTCGCCGCCGGCAATGTCAGTGGCGGCGCCGCCGGGAGTGTTTCAAGATCCCAGGTGGGTTGGAGGGACATGGGACTTGAAGCAGTTTCAGATTGATGGGAAGTCATTGATGCTGGTGACCAATCTCTCCACTCTTTAACCATATCTGCATACTTTAATTTCATATATGATTGATAATGCTTTAGGTTTATGGTTATACTAGCTTTATAGTTTATACTCCAATTTAATTGATGATAATTTCCAAAAATTGGTTCTTCAATATCTATATCTATATACTCCATAATAGTTCATTCATATGTAACTAGCTTGGTTGACGTGTGTGGCCCTCATTCTCAAGAGAGGTTAGGAGTTTGAACCCTCCTCGTATGAAAAAACTAATATGATCAGCACTTTGCCTCTTAATTGGGCTGGCTCGATGCGAACTGGGATTGAGATTAGTTGGTACGGGTTTAAAAGTGCCTCCTACACAGTTAGGGCTTGATCGGGACACCTCAAACCAAAAATATATAATAGTTCATTCATGTTTGATGGCATTGGGTTTTGTTGAGAAAAACGGGATCAAGAGAACAAGAACAGAAAACAAACACTAAGGAAACAAGAGTTTACATGCCCACAACCACAATTGCGAAGGATGTTTTATTAATTGTGATGATCAAACATTCAGTGTTACAAGAATCATATATATATCTACCTTAACGGTTGCGCTGTCATCTTCGAGTAACACATGAGACATACATTACATAACAAGGTTATTCCGGAAAATGCAAATGATATAACAAGTTATTAATTAGATGAAGACATGTTAGATGGCATAAGATTTTATACAAGCAAGTAGCATTACACGTTTATTTCCTTCAATCATGAGTTTACATATCTCCATTCTCCAATTCTCCAAAGATTTTAGTTTCCATAAATGGAGTTTGTAAAAGAAGGCTCATTAGTCATATTAGTGATTTCTGCTGCAGAGCCATTAAGTATATGCACAAACATTTGATATGAAATTGCCTTACCTACAAGAAAAAAACGTACTTAACTCCTGTGTGGTTAATCGTATTGCAGAGGTTAGGAGGAGAAAATGGCTCGAAGATAACCCGGAGTCTTCAAGCAATGAAAACCCTGTGGTTTTCGACACTTCAGTTATTCCTTGGTGGGTGTGGATGAAGAGGTTCCACCTTCCCGAAGCTGAACTCCTTAACGGTTTGCTCAAAGATCGACTTTTTTCTCTTCGTTTCTTCCTTTCAAAGATACAAAAATGCCTGATAATTTAGCGTTACAAGTATACAACCAACCAAATATGTAACAAAAACTCGTTGCAGGCCGAGCTGCAATGGTTGGTTTCTTTATGGCTTACCTGGTGGATAGCTTGAGTGGCGTAGGCCTAGTTGATCAAACGGGCAATTTCTTCTGCAAGACACTGTTGTTCGTGTCTGTAGTTAGCGTTCTTGTGATCAGAAAGAACGAGGATATAGAAGCGTTGAAAAAGTTGGTGGAGGAGACAACATTGTATGACAAACAATGGAAAGCGAGTTGGGAAGAAGAGACCTCCGAGGATCCTTGAAAGAACATCTGTTGTATAGTTCGGTTTTTTTCTTCGGGTTTCTTGGGTGAGCTCTGGAGGAATGGTGTTTATGTTCTTAGTATTTCATGTTCTTCATTTGTTTCTCGTTTGATTTCTACTAGGATGATGTTGGGTAACCTTATTGAGAAATGCACATTTCCCTCATCAATCGATAAAAACCTTTCTCGTGTGATCTGCAATTCAGTTATTACACAAGAGCGAGATTTACCTAGTACACACTTCTGTGGTCACTACATACATAAAAAAAACTAGTCTATATATTAGATGTAACATGCTTAATAATGATATATACAATATAAATTTAGATTATGGCTCACACATGATGAATATAATGATGTAAGTTCCCACTATAAACATGTGTATGAGGGACTATAGCCTCAAGATTTAAATAATATTAAAAAAAAAATTTCTTGACATATTTTTCACCACCCAACATTTTTTTTTTTACCAGAGGATGCTTCCATGTCAGCCTTTCCAAAATGGGAATATTTCTACATAATAAAGATTATCCACTTCTGTGCAGCAAAGAATTGAAAAAGAAAAGGGTTACAGCTTTCTTCAAAGTTATGATTTGTGGTTGCAGTGCAGATGCCTCGTACAAAATTCCCCAGTAAATTTCATGGTATTCCCAGAATTTTATTTATTTATTACTTTATTTAAAAAAAAAAAAAAGAAGAAGAAGAAGAAGAAGTTCCTTTCCAAAGGAAAATTATATGCCATCCTTATTAAATTCAAAAAATTTCAATCCAAGTATCTAGCTTGTATCCCCTGAATCTTTGACAGTAAATGGATGGCATTTGCATTAGGAGTATATATAATTGTTGGGCAAAAGATTTGAAAATAAACAAACAAAATTAAGTTCGGTTCGGTTTGGCTCGGGTTGGGTTTTGAATACGTACTAGAGAATAGCAAGTAGTAATTATCATACCCTTAGCGCCTGCCCTTGTTAGGATCAAACACTTACCATTACGTCAAAATGTATAGCTAGTAGCAAAGGCACAACTTTATTTTCTGATATACTGTCACATTTTCGAGAGGCATGATGCTAAACTTGATGACCCTTCAAGTCTCCGTCCAACACATGCAATCAACACATGAGAAATAAGGTAAGTCGTACAAGGAAAATCCTGTGACGGGCTCGATCGAGAGACACTGACAATAATCAAATTTATGATTTTCTAGTACAAGAATCATATTTCACCCACTCAGTTACGGTTTTGGGCAACAAAACATTTATTTTGCTTAAGATTAAAAAATAAAAAAAAAAAAGAATTGAAGCAAAGAGATGATGCTTTTAATTAGTGGTTGCAGAATACTAGGAAATAGGAATTAGGAAACATTTAGGTGCTGCTCATAGTTGAGCAACATATATAGACCCTATCTAATTAAGTAACCTTGTTCTAGCTAGTGTTGCATCCCACATTCAAAAGGGGATATATCCAAAAATATTCTTGTAAGTTGTCTGTCTATCATCATATCACTTTTTAATTTAAGTGTTCAAATTAAACTATTCCTTTTCCCATAGCCCAATGGTATTCCATTTTAGAGGCATTTAAATTGAATTTAAACTCTATGAGGTATTGATGTATCTTTTTTAGGATAACTAGAATGAAGTTATTGTAATACATCTACCTTAAAATTTATGAGGAAGTATTTTGTCACTTTTAATTTTAAGATTCTTGAGCCATTGTAATGCAATTACCTTAAAATTCACGAGGAAGTATTTTGTCACTTTTTAAGGTTTTACTGGGACAAACATGATTAGTTTTGCGCCCGCATCAACTAAATGAAAATGTGTTGTAAGTGAAACCTGTCTTGTGATGCCATCAAAGGTCATAATGAGGTAAATCAGTCTAAGTGGTCCATAACTGACTGACTCAAATCAAGAAGACTAATAGATAGCTCTCACATAGAGACTATCCGACTAACTTAATTGAGTGAGCCCTAGCTAGTGAACATTGTCAATATTCCACCACCGGAGTTCGCGGGTTATCAAGTGTCAATCCACAACCAACTAGTTAGTTCATTTCCCAAACTATCTAGCTTTTAGCTTTTACATATGCATGCATGATTGAGGCCCTCAGATCAGATCCAGGCTAGATTTTGCATATATAATACAGCTAGCTAGCCAGCGTGCAGAGAAAAAGCCTGCGGTGTGGCCAATCATCCAAACTGGAAAAGTTGATAATTGGTGGTCTGTATCAAAAAGGAAACTGGCAAATTAAAGGGATCGGAATTGAAACATATATGCAACAATGGCAGCTACCTCTGACATTCTTTCACTATGGGTGGAGATAAATC